GGTCAGTGTAAGTAACTCTTTATGTTTAAAAAAGGAACCATCCTGTGGTGAAAGGCAAATGTGTAATCTATCATGGAAGCACTGATCCCTCCCCTCCATTCTCTCATCCATCCAGTTTTTAGTATGTGCAATTATGCCTTTAGAATTTTCTAAGTTCTTTGGTACTGTTTTCCTTTTTTTCACCCTTTAGAAGTTTAGATCCTTTGTTACATGCTCCTAAGTTTTACTCTCAACTTATCCATGGTTCTTATCAAAATCCATAGTTTTGGCCCCCAAAATCTGCCCTCAACATAAACATGAGGTCAACTTATAGTTGAGCACATACGGTATATAACTGGAAGCTGAAGATGGAGAAGCTCCAGTGTCTCTGGAAAAACAAGACCAAAAGCAGATTGTGGCACAGGCCATTAACTGCTGCTATCAAAAATTAAAATTAAAAAATACTGTTACCTAAATTGCAGGGGATCCTGAGAGGGCACAAATTCTATTCAATGGGAAAACTGATTTAGTTCAATAGAAAGCAGTGAGAGGGCTACAGTAATGGAAAGCCTAAATCTTAAGCCTTTGTATAACAGAGATGAAAGCCCAGTATTTGCACTATTAAGTTCGAACAAACGGAAGTCCAGAAGCAGGTTCCGAATTACACTTCTCTCTCCACGTTGGCAGGAGTTAGGAGCACAGGGGTCCCATGAAAGTGGAACAACTGCAAATAAACAGTACTTTTTTAACCTGAGAGAACACCTCTCTGGGAATTTCTAGGCCTTCCAGCAAAATTCTGCAGTCAACATCTGCCAGAATTTGACCACAGAATCATGCTGCAGGACCTACAAATGCCCAGAGAAGTGTTTTCTCTAGGAATCTTTAGGTCCTCCAGTGCAACTCTTTGGTCAACGTCCAGCAGAATTTCCCTGGAGGACCTAGAGCAGGGGTCGGCAACCTATGGCCCACGGGCCAGACCTGCCCCAGCCCAGTCCTGCTGCCCCTGCGTGAATCGCAGCCGCCATTTTGTTTTCCAAAATGCCAGCCACGACTCATTTGTGCATGCACAGTATGCCGGAAGTAGTACTTCCAGCGTACTGTGCATGCACGAGCGAGCGCGCGCGGTGCCATTTTCCCTCCCCCCTTCGGCCTGCGGAAGAGCTCTGGACCAGCAGACCATCCCGAGGTAGGTAAAAGTTGCCTCAATTTCCAGATTCAGCTCTCATCATCACACTCCTTAGTGAAAGGGTTATGCTAATTTCGATCCTGAGTGATCTCATCTCAGCCGAGAGCCTTGGTTCTCTCATGCTGAACCATATGGAATTCCTAATACAGTTTGGATAGTTTCCTATGCTTGAGAGCCCCCTTTTGGCTTCCTGCCTAAAACATCCCTTTTTGATATTAATTTGATGTCAAGGGTTGTAGAGGAGTGACTGAGGGCTGGATCCTGGGATAACAGCACTAGACCAACATTGTGCGAAAATACAATCTAAAGAACACCCTGTAGAATTTAAATGAAAAAACAAACAGATTTGCACTATTAAGCCTAATTGACTGAAAAACCTTGGACTGTAGCCAAGGGCATTCTCAGGGAGAAATGCAAAAAGACACTACCTGCAACCAAAAAGAAAAAGAACAGAAGTAGAAGTTGACAGAAATAGGGTCAGAACCCTGAATCAGTGATTTGTGCACAGGGACCAACAGAACTACTATAATAATCAATGCAAAGAAATAGAAGATGACAGCAAAAAAGAAGAAAAGAACTCTTCTACAAGATCTGCGATATCAAAGAGAAATTTAAACCAAGAGTGGGGATCTTATACAACCAGCAGGGGAATACATTACATGTCTTTTTGTTTTACAGAAATAAAAAGACTATGGAAACAATGCATGGAAGAACTACATAAAAAAGATAAAAGAATGACAGATTCATTAAAGGAAGAACAATTTGAAGATGACCCAACAATTTTAGGAAGTGAAGTGGAAGCTGTACTCAGGGCACTTGAGAGAAATAAATCAGCAGGAACAGATGGCATTCCAAAAGAGATGCTCCAGTCTATAGAGAGAGAATCTACTCGACTTCTTCTACTTCTAATAAAATCTGTCAACATATATGGAAAACAAATAAATAGCTATCAGACTGGAAATGTTTAATATACAATCGAATCCCAAAGAAAGGGGAGCCCCCTAGGGCTCGCAGTAACCATAGGAGCATTGTAGTGATCTGCCATTGAAAAAATGTGATGCTCAAAATTTTACCACACATGGACAGAGGGTTCCAAGCTGAGTTCAGGAAAAGAACAGGCATTAAGAATCATATTACAAACATACATTGGATAATGATATGCACCAAAGAATTTCAGAGGAAAATCAACCTGTGCTTTATAGATTACAGTGAAGCCTTTGATTTTGCAGATTACGAAAAACTGGATTGCTCTTAAATGGTTATGCCACAACATTTGATTGTCCTGATGCACAGGCTACTATCAGAATGCAGAGAACAAGAATAGTTACAATTGGCAAAGGAGTCAGGCAAGGCTGTTTTTTTAACACCCCATCTGTTTAATGCAGGGGTAGGCAACCTTTTTGAGCCGGGAGCCGATCCCCCAAAGTCGTCCCTTCCGGTGGGCCCGAGGGGGAGGGAATGGCAGCGTGCACGTTCACGTGCAACCCCTGCCGTCGCATGCGCTGCCGCCACCACCGCTGCACGTGCTGCCACAGCCGCCTCCACACACGTCGCGGCCACCATTTTGTTCTCCAAAATGGTGGCGAATTTGTGCATGCGCAGTACTCCTGCACATGTGCAAATGTGCCGCGGCCACCATTTTGGAAAACAAGCGACCGAAACGCGCGGCGGCGGTGGCAGCAGAGGTCCGCCTGGGCTGGTAAGCGCGGGGCGCTGGGCTGGAACCGGCCCAGGGGCTGTAGGTTGCTGGCCCCTGATTTAATGTGTATACTAAAAGCAGGATTAGACTCTGAGGAAGGAGGCATTAAAATTGGAGGAAGGAACATCAATGTAGATGACACCATACTATATAGCAGAAAACAGCAAAGACTCAAAACTATTACTGAACAAAGCACAAGGCAGGTTTACAGCTGAACATAAAAAACAGAAGTAATGCCCACTGATGATTTGCATAATTGTAATGTAGACAAAGACAGTAAAATAATTCAATATTTCCATACCTTAGCTCAATCATTAATCAGAATGGAGACTGCAGCCAAGAAATCAAAAGAAGGTTAAAACTTGGAAGGTCAGCTATGAAGAAACTAGACAAGATCCTGAAATGTCAAGATGCATCAATGAAGACTAAAGTTAGGACTGCCCATGCCATCCTATTTCCAGCTTCTATGTAGGTTGTGAAAGCTGAACAGTGAAGAAAGTGGATACTGTGAACTGCTAAGACAACAAATAAATGGGTTCTAGAGCAAACCAGGTCTGAACTCTCCCTAGAAGCCAAGATCACTAAACTGTCATACTTTGGGCATATCTTGCAAAGACAAGATTCACTAGAAAGGACAATAATGCTTAGCAAAGTAGAAGTAGGAATAAGACAGACCACATTCCAGATGGATAGACTCAATCAAGGAAGCCACAGCCTTGAGCTTACAAGACCTGAACAGGGCTGTTGATGACAAGACGACTTGGAGGTCTCTCTCATAGAGTCACCATAAGTCAAACCCACCTGGAAGGCAGTTAACAACTCTATCTGCTCATCAATCAAGTGAGTTTATAGAACTTTTATTATTGTATCTATCCAACCAAATCACTGGAATTAAAGAGAACTAAAATTATATATCACAGTTTTTCACCTGGTGCACCATCATTTTAATCTGTGTACAAAGGGCTAAGAATCAATGGCTACTACTTCGACATTTGGCTCTCCACCATCAAGCAAGATAGAGCATCATGATAATAATGCATTACACTTAGCTAGTTTATTGCTCCCCCCATAAAACACTGGCATAAGAGGGCA